CAATCATTAAGCAACATCTGGATGTAATTTTTATTATTTCTGGCTTTTGTCGTTTTGTCATGATTGAAGATGAATAGATTAGATATTTTTCTGCAAAAAAAACGTACACACATTTAAAACTTTTATCTTTTTGGAAATTCAATAAATTTCAAATACTCATATTAAACATATTTTTAAAATTCTGGGAGCATTTCTTGAAAGAAAAAAAAAGTAAAATCACTAAAAACTAGAAGAAAGTAAAATAAAAAATGAAATAGATCATTCTGAAAACTGAAAATACAAAACCAAAATAGTCGGCCTAATTATCGTTTTATGAAGACTTGATATATGGAATGGTCCTATTCATTATATGGAGATTTTGATATGGAATGGTGGGAAACAGCGAAATCATTAGTTAAGGAGTGCTCGTTGCAAAGATCACCCAATCTCCCCGGTCGCGACAAGTGGCGTGTTGCATGTGCGCCACTTGTCGCAACCTGGGAGTTTCTCTTTTTTCGTAGATTCCTTTATTCAAAATGTTTTATCTCTTTAACCGTGCGTCCAAATCTCGAACCGTTTTCACCGTTGGATTCCTCGCGTCGATATCTTCAAAACAAGATCTCGTGTTGATAGGTTTTGACAAACTTTTTTTCATCAAAAAACCCGGAGTAAAACACTAAACCAGGAGCATGGGTTTTTTTCCGTGCCTCTCGCGAAACCACAAGTGTGCCTCTCGTGGAAGCAAAATTGTGCCTCTTGCGAAAAAAAAGAGAAAACACGTTTTTCCCCGTTCTGAGGAGGCATGGCCGCGCCTCTCGCGAAAGCACAACCATGCCTCTCGCGGAAGCAAAACCGTGCCTCTCGTGAAAGCACAACCGTGCCTCTCGCGAAAGGAAAAAAACCAGAAAACACGGTTTTCCTGTTTCCGAAAGGCACGGCCGTGACTCTCGCGAAAGCACAACTGTGTCTCTCTCGGAAGCAAACCCGTGCCATTCACAGAAGGAAAAAAAAAAGAAAACGTGTTTTTTTCCATTTCCGAGAGGCTCGGCCGTGGTTCTCGCGAAGCAAAACCGTGCCTCTCGCGGGAGCAAAACCGTGACTCCCACGAAAGGGGGAAAACACGTTTTTTTGTGAATTTTTTTTAACAAACTTTTTGTTCAAAAGTTCAGGAAGGCCGGTGGAAAACCGAAACGGTGAAAAAAACTAAAAAAAACAATCGCTTAAAAAGCCGAAAACCCGTGCGGAAAAATAAAAGAAAAACAAAATTCAAAGAGAACGTCCAGAGTGCGACACATGGCGGATGGCTGGTAGCGCGTCAAGTGGCGTTGATCGTTGCGAGGCTCCCAAAGAAACGCTAGTTAATTAGTTACTCTCGGGAAACAACCAAGGTCCTGATGTTCTTTTTCCTTCATCCCAAGAGACCATAAACTTGTAAAAAACAATC